TGACAGCAGAAGTCACACAGGGCCCTTCACAGAAATGCAGAATTACCCAGACTGGAGGAGGCTTTCCAGATCACCTAATCCATCAATCAACCCCATAACCACCCCTAAAACTTATTCCCAAACGTGTCTTTTGATGGAAAACCAGGTTTGGCAGCAGCCAATGGATGTGAGAGTCCCCCACAGCCCCTGGGTTTGCCCCACGGGTGAAATGTGCAGACAGTGCAGGGAATAAATGACACCTAATAAAGGAGAAACTGAGAGCTGGCTGCTATCAGCTCCGTTTTTGAACAATCCAGGGAGCAAATGAATCACTCCAATAGCCAGCCAGGTTCAGCTTTCACCAAAACTGAAAGCTGTGTTTCAGTAAATTCGCTGTTGGCTCTGTACGCAAGCGGCGCCGGGTTTCGGTTTTGGGTTAATATTGCCCCTCTCAATTTCACAACCCCGAGGAGCCAAGGCTGGTTTCGGGATGGATGCACGTGAGCCTGGGGAGTTCTGCTCCAGCTCTGGCCCCAGGGCACACAGATGGGCAGTCGGGGACAAGCAGGGGAGGCTGGCACGTCACAGCCATTGGACTACGCCAATTCCTGCCTGATTTGATTAAAAAAACCAGAAAAATTGGTCACTGTTTGTTTGCCTCTAGGTGTAAATTCCTGGAAAATCAAGTTCTGGCAAAAGGTTGATTTTTCCAGAAAATCCCTGGAGTTCCCTTCTCCAGTTCTCCTGGATAGCTCTGCACACATGGAGAGCTTGGCCTTCTGTCCCCTGACCTTGGAGGACACTGAAAGCCCTGGAAAATCCAGAGCATTTCCTCCCTGCACAACCCCTTTTAGCCATCAACATAAATCAGGGGCACTGTGAGGATTTTGGCTCTTCATTTGACTTTGTATTTTCAGCAGACACTGCTGAGGGGCAAGGATGAAGTTCCCTCCTTTCCCGACAGCAGAGGAAGTCTGCTTCAGATCTTGTTATTTTCTTCTTTTTTCTTTTTTTGGTCTTCTTATTTTTAAACAGTGAGAGGGGTTTTCCACCATTCAACTTTATCTTCCACTTCCTAGTTACTGTCCTCAAAAGCCACAGGGAGAGCAAGAACCAAACAGAAACATAAATGCCTGGTGCTGTTAAGGAAGTAAATCTTCCTCAGAAGATAAATCCCAGGGAAAAATTGTTGAAGAAGCTCGAGGAGAGCAGTTCTGAGCAGGAGTGGAGCTGACACCAGTGCTCCCATGGGGAGCAGCAGGATTTCAATTGAACTCTGCTTTTATAACTCAACCTTTACCTCCATAGCAGGGGCTTGGAAAGAAATTATCTTTACAGTTCTTTCCAACTCACAGCACTCTATGATTCCATGGTTTTCTTTGGGTCTCCATATTAAGATATCTGTCTATGATTCCATGGTTCTCTTTGGTTCTCCATATTAAGATATCTGTCTATGATTCCATGGTTTTCTTTGGTTCTCCATATTAAGATATCTGTCTATGATTCCATGGTTTTCTTTGGGTCTCCATATTAAGATATCTGTCTATGATTCCATGGTTTTCTTTGGGTCTCCATATTAAGATATCTGTCTATGATTCCATGGTTCTCTTTGGTTCTCCATATTAAGATATCTGTCAGGAGAAGGAGGTTGGATCACCTGTTCCTTCTGTAAAAAAAGAGAAAACAGAAGGGGGATTGAAACACTTTTAAAAGCCTCTAAAACTTTCAAAAAGCTCATCTGGTGGATCATTTTTTAGTTGAAAAACCACAGCAAAGATTTTGGAGCAGAAAGACACAGTGGGAGCAGGTGGAAAATCTCGTGGCAGCTCTGGGGATGCTGCAGCCTCTCTCAAACTCCAAGGATGAGCCACCATCCCCACCCCAGCCAGGGCTGATCCTCACTTTGTGGGGTGACAAAGAAAACCCAGGAGTTCCAAACCTTCTCCATCATCCCCACAAAAAAAAACAACCCCAAAACCCCAGGGTGGGGGCTGCAGGGCCTGGTGCTGCTGTGGAAAGTGAGTGAAGCTGGCTCTGAAGTTCACCCTGGAGCTTCCGAGCAGCAGCTTGGGCTGATCTGATTTCTCAAACCATGATAAGGAGTTTCTGTCTTATGATCCCTCAGCACTATAAATAGGCTGGGTTTGTGTTATTGGTCAGAGTTTTGGGTGATAAATCATGACAAAGTCAATATTCTCCAGAAGATCCCACCCAAGTAATACCAGAACTAGAAAAAAGAAACTCCTCAAAGCAGCACTTGTGCAATGAACTGCTCAGGGCAAGAGTTGCTCAAAATTGCTTCTGTAGAAGGCTCAAAAAACAACAAAAAATAAAGGCAGTGCAAGTGATATTTGGGCCAATGGATTATATTCTGGGTTTTTTTGCATACTTTTACACTTTTAGTTATCTGCAAAGAGACTCACTTGGAGCACACAGTCCCCACTCCTGAGACTCCAGTGCCAAGATGCTGTTGGTTTCTCTAAGGACAGGTCTGTGAGCATCATAAAATTCCTGTCAGCAGCTGATTTCAGGGGAAATCAAAGAGATAAAAATAGAGCAACACCTCTGTTTGCTTTGTGGAGTGGGAAAAGCCCCATGAGGGTGGTGGCAGCATCACTGACCTCACCAAGGACTCCTCACACACCTCAGAGAAAGGCTTAAAATGGCAAAACCATGGAAAATAGGGAATAAAGCAGGGAATAGGTTGGCAGAGGGCACCCTGGAATCCCAGCGGGGATATTAAATTTGGATATTATCCAGTCTCTCCCTTAGGCTGCAGCAGAATTGCAGATATTGGGAGGTTTATGTGTGCCATTGAAAAGTGCAAATACTTCTCAGTTAAATTTATCACCAAAACTGAATCTGCAGAGGGGAGAAAGTCTCCATCACTTGATTCTTTCATGAGGGCAATTCCAGAAAGTTCCAGCTTAATTTAGATCACATGGAAGTTCTGGACCTTCTAAGAACTTCTTATGTAACATTAGCAATCTCTGTGTCACATTAGCAGTCACATCCAAGTCCAATGACTCCAATTCATGATTAATAACCCATTTCTGGACAAGATAAACCGATGACATTGGTTAAATTTCCAAAGAGCAATTTGGGGTTTACCTGTTGAGGTCGACGTGAGTCACGCCATGAGTTCTGAGCAGGTTTCCACATTTGAAATTTCCGACGTCACGCCTCGCCTGGCCAGCAGGGAAAAAAAAATCTTGAAAAAAACACAAAGCAGAGCACTTGGTGCTTCATGAGGAACTGTTAGTCATCAGCACTGGGCTGCTGAGAGAGCAGTGCCATGGCTTCAAACACGGGGTGAAGGAAAGGCCACCAAGTCCTTACTTCCCCCACGAGCGTCACTGGCAGGAGATCATCCAGATCTGGAGGGATGAGAAATGGGGAATTTCTAAAAAGGAGAGAAACAACAACACCACTGTGACAGCCTGGAAATGGAGGGGATACTCCAAGTTATGCCTAGAATAGATCGTGCAGAAAATCACAGAATCACAAACCACCGAGGTTGGAAAAGACCTCTGAGATCATCGAGTCCAGCCTGTAACTGATCCCTGCCTTGCCACCAGACCAGAGCACTGAATGCCATGTCCAGCATTCCTTGACCAGCCCAAGAGATGGTGAAGCCCTTCCAGGGGTGGTGAAACCCTTCTGGGGATGGTGAAACCCCTCCAGGGATGGTGAAACCCCTCCAGGGACAGCAAAACCCTTCTAGGGATGGTGAAACCATTC